GAGGGGGAGGGATGGGAAGGAGGGAGGTAGAGGGGGAGGGATGGGAAGGAGGAAGGGACCGAGGCAGGGAAGGAGTAGTGAAGGGCAAGGTGGGACAGAAGGGGAGAGGGAAATGGGGGACAAAGGAGAGAAAGGAGAGAAAGGAGGAAGTGGGAAGGCAAAGAAGTGAGGAAACGAGGCAAGACATGTCTGGTCATGTCACGCTCGGGACAAAGGAAAGGAGTGAGGAAACGAGGCAAGACATGTCTGGTCATGCTAGGCTCGAGACCGCTATTGCCTGCAGCAAGGGCCCGCTGGTGCTCTGCTCATGCTTTTTTAGCATTGATTGACATAGCACTATTGGGGACCTTGCTGGCCCTTTTGGCTTGTTGCCAATGGGACCGAGAGGGCCCATCCTTCGACATGACAAGGAGGGTTTGTGTGAATGGTAAAATTTTGTAGATGCTTCCCGAGTCCAGACCCACAAATGTACCCTGGTGCAGCAATATTGCTGGTGTTTCCAGGACCGGTGTTAGTTTTGTTGTCTGACGACAGCCGTTAGTTTCTCCTTAGTGAGAAGATTTAGAGAAATGAAACAAGTTCAAAAAAGGGATTTGGGCCTTTTAGCTATACCAACAACAACATATTAAATCGGAAAAAACTTCAAAAAAGAAGAAGAAGAAAAAGGAACATTGACTGTGGCCTATGTTGTTTCCAAGAATCCAAGGTGAATTATTGTCCAAGGTGAATTATTGGCAGGATTTTTAGGTCTTGGAGAAAGATTTGAATGTATGGTGGGGAGGACGTTGGAGCGTTTCAGAGATTCCTTCCTTTTGCTTTTGTTGTTGAAAAGTTTGGGAATCATTTTTGGGAAGAGTTTGCGGGGCGACTTGTTGGGGAATGTCTTTGAGGTCCCCCTTCCCTTCCTCCTGTTTTTCTTTATTTTGTTCTTTTTTTGTGGGTGGGGTGGGTGGGGGGGGGGGGGGGGGGGGGGAGGAGTTCTCTTCTAGGGATCTGTTTTTAATGTTCCTTTCTTTTTGTCATTGCGACGTGTGCAACTTGAAACTGTGTCGGATATCAAGAAAACCAGAGGGAAAATCGACAATGGAACTCTCGTCAACCGGTGAGCGAAGAGAGATCGAAGACATAGGAACTGGAATGCCCGTTCCTGACAAAGAATACCAAAAGCGTGCAAGAAGACGGCGAAGACGAGGGACCGGGAGGGTAAGTCCGATCAACAGCTTCACTGTCCACGTGTCCACGTGTCCACGTGCAAGAATAGCAGTTGTACTGTTGTAGCAATTCCCAATTATGTGTGTTGAAACTTGAATCCGTTGTGGGAGAGTCTGACTGACTGGTGGTGGGAATCACACAGGTTCCATCCTGATTTTATTTTATTTTATTTTTCTTTTTTCTTTTTTCTTTTTTCTTTTTTCTTTTTTCTTTTTTCTTTTCCTTTTTCTTTTTCTGCGAAAACGTCCGCCTTCATGAATGAATCCTAATGAAGCTCCGATGGCAGCTTCCTGCAAAACAAATGCACCTGTGCGTTCCATCGATTTTTTTTCGGTGTTTCAACATCCATGTTCTGTACTCTTCTTTCCTCCTCTCGTTCTCCGAGATTCTGTAACTGATGCAGAAAGAAAAAAAGAAAGAGATTCTGTTTCAAGGTTCCACAGGTCCACTGCTTAACTCTGGTTTCAAGGTTCCACAGGTCCACAGTTTAAACTGGTTTCAGTGTCCCAAAGCCCCACAGTGTTAACTGGTTTCAAGGTTCCAAAGTTCCACAGTTTAAACGACCAGTGTGTTTCCCAGCTATCATGTTCCAACGTGGCAGTTTTACGCCTGCAGCAAAATGACACGTCAGGCCTACCGGACGAAAAGGCTGGCGGTTCCAGCTGGCGATTTTGTGCCAGTGACAGCGCGCATCAGAAAAAAAAGAGAGGCACGTACAGACTGGTGGGTTAACTTAACTGCCTTAAAGGTTCCAAAGTTCCACAGTTTTTAACTGGGTTCCAAAGTTCCACAGTTTTTAACTGGGTTCCAAAGTTCCACAGTTTGGTTTCAAGTATCCAAAGTTCCAAAGTGTGCAACTGGTTTCAGGTTCCGCAGGTCCTCCGCAGTTCCAACTTAGAAGGATTGTGTTGCGGTGCCGCTCGGTTGTGCAGGCACAGAGGAAGAAAGCAGTCGTTTCAAACCTTTGCCTGAGTAGCACGACTTTGGCTGGCGAGACAGAGTCAGCTAGCGATGTGCCGGAAACAGAAGGCTCCGGAGCTGCTGGTATCCTGGGAATCGCAACACCATTGGTAGCGAGTGAAGGATGGGAACATGAGAGGGGTACACATTCTTCTTCAGCAAATAGAAGCTTCAGGACTGAAGGGTATGTGCTGCAATTGACATTCTGGTGATAAGGGGATAGATAGGGGATTGAGCTGGTGTTTCTACAAAAGGATGTTGTCGACGACAGGTTGAAATGCCAGCCCAAGCGGTAGGCATTCGTCACAAAGCCGGGCGGCTTGAGAGCCGACGTGATTGGCATTCGGGTGATAGGCGGACGTTCCGTTGACTGAGCAGTCAATTCTGCAAAGGTGCCGCAATTGACATTCTGGTGATAAGGATAGATAGGAGATGGAGCTGCTGTTTCTTTCCAAAAAAAGTGTGGAAGACGACAGGTTGAAATGTTCGTCGAAGGAGTAGACATCCGCCAAAGCAGGGGCACTCGAGAGCTGAAGGGTTTTTGGCGTTCGGGCGACAGGCTGACATTCTGGTAATCATGCGGCGGCGGCGGCGGCCATTTCCGTAAAAGCACTCTCGAAGAAGACAGGGTGAAATGACATCCACAAACTGGGACTAGCTCAGTCGGTACGCCCATGGATTGTTGAAACAAAGGCGCAAGCTCGAATCATCGAGATGCAGCTCTGAATTTACCTGGGGCAGGTCAGTTTGAAGATGACATCTCAAGGCGGTTGCCTTTTAACAAAGGAGTTAGAAAAGAAAAGAAACAGAAAAGGGAGAAAGAGCAAAGGATGAAATGGCATCCCAAGCAGCTTGGAGCGACTTGGACAGTTGTTCACACACAAGCAGCTTGGGTTGGTTAGTGATCGTGCCGGAAAGTCCGGTCGTCTTTTTCAGACCGAGGAGTCGAGGACGGCAAGGAGGACGAAGTTCTTTTAGTGGATGTCGAAGGACGATGAACAGATTCATGATTCCTCTTTCGATCCCATAAGATGTAACTGTGCTGGATTGAGTAGATTCCAGGACACGCCGGAATCGTTTTCCGGAAAGTCCACGGTGACGTCATTGGCATGTGACTGGAGCACAGCGCCAACTTTGAACCTGGCTGCAGAGCTGTTCGAGTTCGACCGGGGAGGCAATTCATGAGGGAGCTTGTGAGGCACTGAAATCAACTTTCAGGAAACATGTTAAGGGCGACGACCTCACTGACATGTCACTGACATGTGACAGGAGCAGAGAACTAAGTTGGCTGAGGGATTGTCCGCGTTGTACTCTACTACTCGCGAAACAATGGACGGTGGAGTCCGTGAGCAGAATGCTGGTGGGGAGGAGGGTTGGGGAGGAAGCAGGTCACGGTCCCGCCAATCCTTGCGAGCTCTTGCGAGCACACAGGTTGACGTTCACTTCCTAGGAATAAGCGAGTCTCTGTGGCGGCAGGCACTTTCCCATCAGCAGGGCGATGAGTTGGCAGCCGAGCGATTGTATTCCGTGTACTATGTGGGAAATGACAGATGACTGCTATTGATGGCAGAGAGGGGAAAATAGTGAAGGGTTGGTTGAATTTGGTTCCCCTCGGTCACGTGCAGAGTCATCCTTGCTTATGCACACAGGCAGGCTGTTCATCTGTCTATCAAAGGAGTTGGAAGTCGTGCGTTTGTCTTTCGAATGGGCATTGATTTTGCTGGTCAGGTCCTCGAATACGAGTTATCTCGGCACGCTTCAGTGACTCGCTCTCAGGGCGCAGAATCGCAAACTCATAAGGTCGCACCGTCACTACCGCCACCACCACCAACTCATCAGGGAGCAAAAAAATGTTTTTCATTTCTATTTTCCTTTCTTTGTGTGGCAATGTATATCATAAGTAGAGGTGGTGATGGATAGTCTGTGTTGTCTGACGCCTTTGCGGGCCCGTGTTGGGTTTCGTCAGCTTAGTCTGTGTTGTCTGACGCCTTTGCGGCCCCATGTTGGGTTTCGTCAGCTTCCCAGAAGCTCCCCTTTATATTCGAATGCAACACACTTTATTGGTGGATGTTTCTGCTAAGCAGATTCTTGTCTGTCTCTTGCTGTTTGTTTCACTGTGAGTCTGTGACTGCAAACTGCTAATGGATTGTAGAGACTGGTCGATGTTAACAAGGGTCGATGTGCGTCGATGTTGATAGTAATTAGGAGATGGATTTCCATACAAGTAGGTTTGATTTGTTTTCTTGAGCTGTTAGGAATGTGGAGATGGATTGGACACTATAGAGGTCTGTTTTGTCTTGGACTCGCCAGGAATGCAGCACTAAGATTTCAGCATCTCAGGGCTATCTGGCATAGCTTATGAACCGGCTATGTGATCAAGCCTCTTAGCCTCTTAGGGCTATCTGGCATTTACTACGCACCGGCTATGCAATCAAGCCTCTCAGCCTCGCAGGGCTATCTGGCATTGACTATGTACCGGCTATACGATCAAGCCTCTCGGCCTCTCAGGGCTATCTGGCATATTGAGTCATTGACTATGTACCGGGTATACGAAAGGCAATCAAGACTGTCAGCCTCTCAGGGGTATCTGGCATTGCCTATGTATTGGCTATGCAATCAAGGCTCTCAGCCTCTTAAACCGCTAGTATTTGGCCCCCAGCCTTGCAGTCCGAAACTTGTCGCCACAAGAAAAAAAAACGAGGCCGAAACGTCAAACGCTGGGCCTGCCATTGATAAATTGGAGCGGTGGTCGCTTTTCGTTTTGCGCTTCCGGAATTCGAGGTGTCGGCCCCGCTGCCCAGGTAGCTGTGTACTGGTGGTTTAAGGCTATCTGACATTTGCCATGTACCGGCTATACAATCAAGCCTCTCAGCCTCTCAGGGCTGCTATCTGGCATTGTCTATATACTGGCTATGTGATCAAGACTATCAGCCTCTCAGGGCTATCCGACATTTGACTATGTACTGGCGATGCACTTGAAACAAGTGCCTCTATGACTGATTAGGAGACGGAGGACAGCTTTTGCCGTCCTGGCATGAAGCAACTGGTCTGTCCCAAACTGTCGACTAATATCACCGTGCCCGTTTTGCCAAACACAGCGCATACCACGCGTCATTTCTGACAGCGGATGTGGCAGCGATGATGGTGGCAATGCCATTTTGCAGTGTGTTCTGTAGCGTTCCTGAGCGAGCATGCTAAAGAAAAGCTGTCGATTAATATTCCCGTGCTCATTTCCCCAAATATAGTTTGCGCTACGCATCATTCCTCCTCCTTTCGTTCTTTGTTTCTTTCTTTTTTTGCCTTTTCGGAAAGGGCGATGACCTTCAGGTATCATCATCAAGCGACCCCAAGTAATTCAGAGTAGCTGCATTTTTATTTTTAGTTTATGCCATAGGGATTCAAACGCGCGTGTGGATATCAATAGTTTGCAGACATGCTGCAGTCACTAAAGTCTGTGCATGTGGCTCCGTCTGGAGGGTTACGCCATTACTGCCTTAGGCTTCCCCCCCCCCTCCTCTATTTGTTGTACTTTGTATAGTATTGCATTCCTTTCCCCTTTTTTTTTAAGGCTTTTCCCCTCCCCCTCCCCCCCTATTTGTTCCCCTGTTTCACAGGCTTTCGGAGAAGTTGAGTGGAAAGTTTCTGCTGCTTGCCTTGTAGTCAGTCGCAAACAGGAAAATTGAGTAAGGCTAGTTCGTCTGGCGAAATGGCGATGCTCTGCATGTGAGAACGTACGTGTGATGCGGATGTGAGAAACGGTAAATTTTCTAATTTTCATTTTTCAAAGGCCTCCCCCCCTCCCCCCCCGCCCCCCCCACAGTTTGTTCCCCTGTTTCACAGGCGTTCGGAAAGTTTCTGCTGCTGGCCTCGTAGTCAGCCGCGAAACAGGAAAATTGAGTAAGGCTAGTTCGCCTGGTGAAATGGCGATGCTCTGCATGTGAGAACGTGCGTGTGATTTAGATGTGAGAAATGGTAATGGAGTAGCAGAAGACTTTGTGGAGGGCACATTTTGCACATGAGAACAAAATGGGAAAAGAGAGGGAACATATTGAAAGGACAGAAAGCGTTTTGCCACACATGATTACTGTTCTAAGTGTGGTTTCCCTGGATGAACCATACCTATATCCATGTTCATGTTCATGTTCACGTTCATGTTTGCAAGGCTCTTTAGTATCATGTGAATGGCTTTGCATTGGTTTGTCTTTCCATCTTGCCCTTCCCCTCTTCCCTTGCTTTGGTGTTCTTTGATTTGAGTCAAGCTGAGTTTGCACATCCAAGCTTTCAATGAATTTGCATGAAATGGATTTTTTATCATTTTGACATTTTTATCTTTCTTTTATTTATTTATTTATTTTGTTTTAAAGGGTGGCAGTCTGGAGACATAATCTGATATATATCCGCAGGACCGCAGGTGACTGGCCCCAGGTAATTCAAGATTATTCTGGAAGTTATTGTAGATTATATGTCATGATCATGACTTGTTGAGCTTCCTTATTGAGCTTATGTTGGGACAGGTATGTTGAGGTGTTTGTTGAGAGGAGGTTTAAACCACCAGCACTCAGCCCAGCTATCGGCCGCGGGCTTGCCCGTTAACGCACCAGCACTTGCGGAGGTCCGGGCCGCTTCGGCAGGCCGGTAGTGTGAAAACGCACGGGCCCATTGGGACTCCATACCTCAGGCCGTCGGACACCCTACCGGCCTGCCTGTTGGACCTGCAGCCGTGGTCAACGTCCGTCACCGACAAGGAAAACCGTACAGAAGGCAGGTTCGGTAAAACGAAGCGCCAGGAAAAAAAAAAAAAAAAAAAAGTGGGAAAAAAAAAGAAGACCAAACGTGCTGCCTGTTCCGACGTAGGCGTTGCACGTGCCCTGTCTCATCTCGCCATCGCCTGGCTTCGTGATCGAAGCTCTAAACCAGGTGGATGCGTGCGGGCGATGCTATCGTATTGCGGTGTGTGTGTGTGTGTGTGTGTGTGTGTGTGTGTGTGTGTGTGTGTGAGAGNGAGAGAGAGAGAGAGAGAGAGAGAGAGAGAGAGAGAGAGAGAGAGAGAGAGAGAGAGAGAGAGAGACGTGCTTGAAGACAGCGAAAACCAGTGTCTTCCCCGTGAAAGGGATGACTTTTGCAGGTGAGACATTGCCATAGTCAGACGCTGTCACACGGACTATGGGATTTTTCGCGCTCCGAAGAATGTGTCAAAGTTTTTGAGAATTTGAGGGTCCGCAGATTTTCTTGTGATCTTTCCAGGAAACATTTTTTTTAATTTTAACAAAATAAATCACGGAGGCAATTCAACACATTTTCAATTTTTGCCACTATGTAGTTTTTTCAAACTATGCTACTGGTAGCCCTAATGAACCTGGGCTACCGGTCCCCCGAATTTGTTGCCGTCGGAGGGAGCGGTGGTTTAACCACAACCGGGGTTAACGTGGATTATCGCTTACGGTGCGCTTATTGTTTTATCGATGGGTTGTGATGGTTCATGGATGCAATGAGAGAGAATTCGGGTTTTTTAAACTACACACAGCCTCTGCTCCAAACGCTATGAAGGGATGGTCACTGCCAGCCTTTGCCGCGAAAACTGTGAGCCTTTGGTCTTGTACTCATCCCCCCTCAGTGCCCTCACCCTCTAATTACTTGCCCAGCATGCCGTTGTGGCTTTGACATGCCATGCTTAAATAGCTGTGAATGGCAGCCAGCGTGCTTTCTTGCAGACATGCCAGCAGCATGTCGTTGTGGCTTCGACATGCCATGCTTAAATAGCTGTGAACGGCAGCCAGCGTGCTTTCTTGCAGACATGCCAGCAACATGCCACATGTCGTCCATGTTTCCAGGAAGCTGCCATTGCCTGCCGTAGAAAGTATGTGTGTCTTCTGCGTGAACTATGCCCCCGATGCCATCCTCCGCCACATCCTCTCCAAGCATGTCCCACGTGCAGCATTGAGCTTATTCCTTCTTCCCTCCCAGACGAACGACAGACGCAGCAGCCTGAGGAGGAAAACAGACTAACATATGAACCACCGACGATAGAGCGCTGTTCTAAAAGGTTATCGCCACCAGGGCAAGCGGTTGAAGACCAAATCTTGCAGCAGCTGAACACCCTTGCTTTGGATCAAACCCCGTCGTTGTCTGCGCATAGAAGGGGAATAAAAAGTGGGGAACCCCCAAGAAACCTGCGCAATGCCACTCTGTGATGACCCATCTGAGATTCGGCTCGCAAGTGGTCCACATGCGTTGTGCCGTGAGGATTATGAAGGGATAGCCCATGCGAGTTTTTGCTTTTCATAGGTATGATGACAGTCAATACTGTACTCATGTAAAGCACCCTGACATGTCATGTCCACTTTGTAGACAGGGGGGCTGGAACGCCAATGCCTCTACAATCACGATCAAGATGCTCTGTGTTCCTAGCATGTAGGAGCCACATAGCCTGTGGCATCCGTCTATGCTGTGCCATTCGATGCAGCAAACGAAACGCACGCACGCAAGCACGTGTACATGGCAACATGCACACGCACACTCATACACAGACGCGCGCGCACACACACACACACACACACACACACACACACACACACACACACACGCGCGCGGGGTTGTTCTGGTGACAGTCTAAACACACACACACACACACCACACACACACACACACGCACACACGCACACACACACACACACAGAGACACGCACAGGCACGCGCACACGCATCGGCACACGCATCTGCACACACACATGCACACACGCACACACAGAGCAGTTTGGACGAGGAGGCATTTCTTTGACTCCATTTGGTCTTCAGACAAGAAAGCGTGCTCAAATCAACTGGGAGATTGTGAAATGTGGAAACCACATTTCTCGACTCCATTTGAACAAATACTCTGACACAAGGACTTTCCTGGACGTCTCTGACCTCCTTTTATGGCCAGAGCTGGATGCACCTGACCACAATTACGTCCACAGAGAAGTTACGGAAGTCCTAAAGGGAGTGTGCCCTGGGAGTGTGCCCTGAATCACACTCAGAACCCACAAGCAACCAGAGAATGGGTGGAGG